GAAGCCATTCCTGGAGACCACCTTCCAGCCAAACAATAGATAAGCCCATAAAGTAAACAACAACACCGGAAAGGAACGTGCTCCTTAGAGCAATCAGTTATATGAGATTAAAAGGGCAATATTTGCCCAAAAGCAAAATGAGAAGGCCTGAAGGGGTAGAAAATCAGGACAACAAAAGTGAGGAGCCCAGGGCAGAAATGGGGAGAGTGTTGACATATTGTGGGGAATGAAGCCAAAGTCATGAAACACTTTATGTACAAACTATCAAATGGGAATCTGATTTGCTCTGTAAACTTTCACCTGTTGTTGGTAGGTGCCATTGAGTTGGTTCTCTTAGCGACCCTGTGTACCACAGAATGAAACACTGCCTGGTCCTGCACAGTCAGTCATTGCTATGCCTGAGCCCATTGTTGCAGCCACTATGTCAGTCTTTCGCTGACCCCCTGCTTTAGTTTCACCTAATGCACAATTAAAAAAAAAAAAAAAAGATTTTGTCAGTCAAAGGTAGTTTGTATTATCCAGAAATGTGATTATGATAAAAATTGAAAGTTGGAATGGCTGGTGAGCTTAAGGATAATAAAATGTCATTAATGATGTTAATCCTTTGCCAAAGCATCCTAGAAACTAAGACTGTCTCAACAGAAGGAAGTCAAACAACCCGACAACTTTTGCTAGTTGTTTTTATCCATTCAGCCAGTATTGATGAGTGGGTACTTTGCTAGCAGCTGTGGTGAACTCAGAGAATTATAAAGCACAGTTGCTGCTTTCAGTAAGTCTATTAGGGGACAGTGGTGGTTCAGGGGTAGAATTCTCACCTTCCATGCGGGAGACCCAGGTTCAGTTCCCAGCCAGTGCACCTCAGATGCAGCCACCGTCTGTCAGTGGAGGCTTGTGTGTTGCTGTGCTGCTGAACAGGTTTCAGTGGAGCTTCCAGACTAAGACAGACTAGGAAGAAAGGCTTGGTGATCTCCTTCAAAAAATCAGCCAATGAAAACCCTATGGATCACAATGGTGTGATCTGCAGCTGATATGGGAATGACGCAGGACCATTTTGCATGGGTCACCATGAGTCGGTGGGCCAGCTCAATGGCAGCTAACAATACAATGGCCAATCAAAGAGAGAAAACATAGACATAGAACATAAACTGTTTTCCTGAGACTCTACACTGCAGTCCTCATAGTCTCAGTAGCTGATCCTTTTCACAAAGAAGGTAGAGACCAGTAGATATGAACTCCCTCAGGTTCTCTGCCCCTCACCACATCAAAACGTACTAGTAGCTTTATAGTAACTTCTCTTCTTTCTCAGTGAAAGATGTACCCCATTCCATTTTAAGATTAACTCCATCTGTGATCTTTTTTTTTTAATTGTGTTTCAGGTGAAAGTTTACACGCAAATTAGTTTATCATTCAAAAATTTATACAGAAATTATTTTGGAACATTGGTTGCAATCCTCACAGTGTGTCAGCAGTCTCCCCTTTCGCTTTACACTCCTGGTTCCCAGTGTCCATTTGTCCAGGTTTCCTGTCCCTTCCTGCCTTCTTGTCTTTGCTTTTGGGCAAGTGTTGCCCATTTGGTCGCCTATACTTAATTGAATTAAGAAGCACATTCCTCACATGTGTTATTGTTTGTTCTATAGGCCTGTCTGATCTTTGACTGAAAGGTAGACTTCAAGAGTGGCTTCAGTTCTGAGTTAGCAGGGTGTCTGGGGGCTATAGTCTTGGGGGTTCCTCCAGTCTCTGTCAGACCAGTAAATCTAGCCTTTTTTTGTGAATTTGAATTTTGTTCTACATTTTTCTCCCACCTGTCTGGAACCCTCTATTGTGATCCCTGTCGGAGTGGTTGGTGGTGATAGCCGGGCACCATCTAGTTCTTCTGGGCTCAGGCTGGTGGAGGCTGTGGTTCATGTGGTCCATTTGTCCTTTGGACTAATATTTTCCTTATGTCTTTTGTTTTGTTCATTCTACTTTTCTTCAAATCTGATGGGACCAATAGATGTATCTTAGATGGCCACTCACAAGCTTTTGAGACCCCAGATGCTGCTCACCAAAGTATGAACTATGCTATGCCAATTAACCTAGATGTGTCCTGAGACCATGGTCTCCAGTGATTCGGTCCTTCAGGATGTTTGTATGTGTCTAGGAAGCTTCTATGACTTTACCTTGGTCAAGTTGTGCCGACTTCCCCTATACTGTGTGTTCTCTTTCCCTTCACCAAAGTTACCCCTTGTCTACTATCTAGTTAGTGATTCCCCCTCCCTACCTCTCGTCTCCCTCATAACCATCAAAGATTTTTTTTGCTGTGTGGAATCTTTTTCTTGTTTTTTTATAATAGTGGTCTCATACAGTATTTGTTCTTTTGTGATTGACTTATTTCACTCAGCAAAATGCCCTCCAGATTCATCCATGTTGTCAGATGTTTCATGAATTCATCATTGTTCTTCATCGTTGCGTGGTATTCAAATGTGTACATACCGTAATATGTTTATCCATTCATCTGTTGATGGGCACTTGGGTTGTTTCCATCTTTTTGCTGTTGTGAATAATGCTGCAGTGAACATGGGTGTGCATATGTCTATTCTTGTGATG